GGCGCCGCAGACCCCCTCTCCGCGCTGCCCATGCCCGCCCTCCTCCTCCAGCCCGGTGGCACCACGCACCGCGCTCGCAGCTGCGCCGCCGACTGCCGGGTTGGCATCTCAGGGCGGGGAGAGCGGCGCCGCAGGCCCCCGGCCGCACTCTTCACCCGGCTTCTTTAGGACCGCCCATCCCGGTGCCTGACCGGCGCCGCCTCCGTCCGCTGCGATCTCCGCCTATCCGCCGAGCGAAGTGCCGTTGCTAAACCGGGACGTGGGTGCGAGGCCGGGCAACGGGCCGGTTTTGTGGGAGAAGAGACCGGGACGAGCCAAGGATCTCACTTTTGTGTTCAGGCGCTGGAGCGGGCAGACCCGGAAGAAGGACTCCTCCCTCCCAGCCGCGCAGCCCGCGCAGGAATGTGCTGCGGCGAGCGGCGTCGCGGCAACGGGAGGGGGAGAGGGGAGGACGGGGCGGCAGAAGGGTCAAACTGCGCCAGGGAGCGAGAGTGCGTCCCCACCCTGCAGGACCCCGCGCCACGGCCGGGACCACAAATCCCGGCACGCCTTGCGCGCGTCAGGGCTTTTTGCGACGGGGCGCACGGCGCCGAATAAAATTAATAAAATTAATAAAATTAATAAAATTAATAAATCGAAACCGTTTCGGTTCAATTACCAAATTAAATCCGCGGGTCTCGTTTTTCCCTCTGCTCCGTGGCCCGCCGGCGCGGGCTGCAGCGGTCGAGACGCGGCATTCGGGGATGTTGAAGGCAGCGCTTGGCGGGCTGAGTGGAGGCGACGCTCTGGCAACTTTCTTTAAAATTATTTTAAATTATTTTAAATTCGGGGGGGAGGAGTGTAACAGAGTTCACTTTTTCTAGTTGCTCAGGTGCCAGCATGTTCGGAGGGAATGCCGCGCGCCCGGGCACAGATCCATCCTCAGGAAAAAAGCTGAGTTAGGGGGCCCAAGGGGATAATTCTGCTCGCTCTGTGCAGCTCTGTTAGGCAGCACTGCCCGGCAGTCCCACAGAAAGCAGTGCTGGAAAAGAGTCACGGATGAGACGATGTGTTGGGATGGCTATGCCACGCTAGGGAAAGCCAAAACCACTCGTGCCAAAAATTATGCCAGCTGATGCTGCAGGAGGAGAGTCCTGCACTTCATGAAGCTGCCCTTGGCAGACACAAAGAGGAAAAGCTGCAGTCGAAATATGAATGATCTTGTAGCCTCAAGACAGGCATGTAATAAATGGAATTGATTCGTGCTAACTAAATTGTAACTATTTGGAAAGAGATTATTAGAAGCAATCAAGAGAATCAGCGTTACAAGGCAGATGCACCCCTTTACAGATGTTACATGTTAAAACTGAGGTACACGATGTAGTTTGGAAGATAAGTGATGTCCCAAGACAAAATCGACCTTGAGATGGACACAGTTGGAACGACTTCAGGCATAGGGCCTGAAAATTATTAAATGTAAGAATAATTAGTGGACCTACATAATACAACGCTTAGTACAAACGCTTAGTACACACATGCAAACCTGTGAGGCCATCCAGAGGACCACGAGGATGAGTGTAAGCCTTCGTCAAAAGACCACCAAAAGAAGGCTGGAGACCCCCTAACAACAAGTGAAGCGTGCGCCGTGAAGAATAGCGATGTAAAATTAAATAATCGGAAATAGGAGGAGGCTTACGGGAAACATTAATGAATATGTATAAGCATACAACATATAAATTAAGTCTGAATTGTTTTGTTTTGTATGTGAGGCAGGGTGGGAAGCCCTCTCCGTACCCCGTCCGGTTTTGTTTATGCTTTAATTATTCTTAATTACAGCAAATTACATATATAAATTGTATTTTTTAATTGTATTCTTTTACTAAATTGTATTCTTTTACTGAATTGTATTCTTTTACACCAAATTACGTTAAATTCACTAAATTGTATTAATTTTTAATTACACTGCTGTTAACTCAATAGACCTAGTTGTCAAACTTCTAATTTCATTTGTATCTGATAGGAGGATAAGGAAACAGTACCTTAAAGGGCTAGAAAGAATACTTCACTAGCAGACAGCTCAGTCACCAGTTCTACTGCTGAAAGACATGCCAATCTACACATTTAGGTGAAAATTAGACTAAAGACTAAAATTTTGATGTCAGAGGAATAATACAGGCATTCTGCTTTGTGTATTTGCTTCTAGTTGTATAGTGGTTAGTACAGTGTAGCCACAGCCCGCCTCAATTTTTTTTAAAAATAAAGACTTCTGGCAATCTGCCTTATCACTGCTGGGCTGTGAGAATTACTGAATTTTCCTTTAGGCCATTCATTTTTGATTCAAAGCATCTCAGGTGTTGTGCTTGGGAGCCTTGCCTGGGCGGATAGTCTAAACTGGAGATCTGGGGGATTAGGATTTTTCTCACAAATTCAACACTGCTGCAGAAAGCTTGTGAGCTTTTGCTTGTTTGATTGAAAACTGTTTGGGTTTTGTTTTGTCATTTTGCTTTTGGTGTTTTTTTTTTTATTTTTACGTAATGGTTGGGTTCACCTTGCTTGCACAGGTGGAAGTGTACCAAGCTGGGTAGTAGGTCCACAGTCTGACCCTGCTCAGTTGCTGCTGCTGCTTGTAGTCATGATAATGTTCAGCCCCTATTTCTGAACCTTTTTTCTTTCCCTAAATATAGGGTTTTAAAGCATTCACAGGAGCAAGCAGTACACGAAACAATTCATTTTGCCACATGGACACTGTTCCTATGTCCGCTCCTGAATCTCCACATGTTGAAAAGCGAGGATTTTGTGCTCATTTCATGAGGATATTTGCTGTCATCTACATTTACTGCTCAGATAAGCATGGGCACAGAAGGGTCCTATTCATCTTGGCACTGAGCTGGTAACATCTGCCTTCTGAAACAAATAAATGTATTTCTTTCTTGGGTTCAGTTGTGCCAATACTGCATGGTAGGGACAATTTGGAAGGCACCTTCTCCAGTCTGTATCACTCAGCTCCATATCTGCTTTAATGTCCCTTCTGTGCTGTGAGAACCAGCAGTTCCAAGAAAAACATAAGGATCTTGTGGCCGGGGAGGAGAACTGTTGGAGGTGTGGTGCTCAACCTGGAGCAGGCAGCCACAATTTTCTCCTGGGGAAAGGGACAAAGCTTTGCTTTGCCACTGTGTCTTACCAGTCATGATTTTTTCTTTTTCTACCAACATAGGGTTTTTCACCACACAAATTTTGGAGGCATGGGAGGTGTGAATGGCCACTGTGCAGCATTCTGCTCCCCCAAGAAGAAATTAATTTTGAGACTGGGCAGTTTCTGTTTTGAGTACAAGTGCTTCTTGAACAAAATAATACCATCCTGAGCAGTCTGCTGTTGCACAGTGACATCCAGAGCTCTGCAGACGTGTTACTTCTGGAAGCAGCAGCCACTTGGGCTTTTGGCTCAGGGAAGGGCTGTAACTGGGGTAGATTTCACTGGGCTACACAAGGCTCTGCAGATTTGTCAACCTGCAGAACTGAGCTCAGCTCTCCTTGGGTTTGTTCTCTCCCTGGGGTAGGTTTGTTACAGCTACTTCCCTCTCAGCCCTGACTCACAGACAGCTGTAGGGCTGTGAGTGCAATGTGGCCCTCAGGCAGCTTGACTGCAACACTCTGGCTGGAGCCATACATGACTCCCTACACTGTGTCACCACTGCAAACGCCATGTAATACTGATTTCTCCAATGGGAAGACGCAAACCTACCAAGATTGCTGCTGTCCTCTTCATGGGACCCCTGTAAACCCCTCCTGGCCCCTTCAGCCCTGGGGGGATGGGGATGTGTGTGGTGGATATTGGTCAGGTGCTCCTAGGCTGTTACATACAGGTTAATGAAGTTGGCAGCCCATGCATGGCCTGAGGCTCTGCAGCCCAAATATATTTATTCTGAGAGGTGTGAGGTGCTCCACTGCTTAGATGCCAGCTGTCATTAAATGAAGATAACTGGTTTCCTGTGTACTTGCCTTTGTGATTGATTGCTTTTGGTGCTTGAGATGCTTGGGAGCTCTGACTGAACAGAAACAGAATTCCTCCTGTGCATATTCTCTCACAGCTAATAAAGTAGGGCTGCAGTCCCTTCCTTCAGCTTTAACCAAAAGAACCTGTCACCAGTGTGAAGGAGGCTTGTTGAACTTGCCCAGGTCACTCAAGACACACCCTGACAGTTTAAACCTCACTTCCACAGGAAAGCTAGTGAAAGACAACAACTTTAAGGAAGGCTTTATTTCATTACAGACAAATTATCTTCACAGGGTTTACACCACCCTACCTCAGGTCTTGCTGTTGGCTCTATGGTTGTCAAAAATCCTATGACAGAGGCATGAAATATGAAATCTGTACTTGCAGAACAGCATAAAACACTTGAGTGTTACCAGGTGCAGAGTGGTAAAGTGCTGCTAAGCACTTTTATATTAAAATCGATTTTTTTTACTAATTTCTCTGAGGATGCTGCAGTTTCTTCAGCGTCTGGATACAACAGAATCCAGCCACTGTGCTGTAGCTACAAGCCCACTGTCTGCCAGATATACAGCTGGATTTGCCAGGTATGAAGGAATGTCAGTTCTGGCTCAAAGCATGTTCTGGTTAGCCAAATGGCCTGGTGTAGTATTAAATGAAACCAGACACCATGAAAGATCAAGAGCAGGACAATGACAAATGACATTCCCTACTATTCCAAGCTTCTGACTACTTTCAGCTCTCTGGACTTTCTTCAGTCCTTACTGCTGTGCCATCAGGTTCTGCCTGAGAGGATTAGAGACGAGAGGACACCAGGGCCAGCTGACAGGGGGACTGCCCAAGGCCGGTTATTAAGCAGATCCAAAGTCTGTGGGTGCCCGTTTGTGGGTGCCAGCAAACTGAGTGGGCCTTGAGGTCTTGCCATGGTCAGGTATCTGCACCTGGAGGGAACAAGGATCCAGGGATTGCTACTGGATAAATAGACATGTTTGTACTGGAACTGTGTACTGGGAGTACACACACAGCTTGATGCTGCCTGGACCTGGTGAGACAAAGATGCAGCCAGCTTCACTTCTGTTGGGCTACCAGGTTTATAAACTCCAACCAACACTTCTACTGCAGGCAGGAGGTAATTTCTGCTAAAGAACACAGTTAAAATGCAGCCTTTGTGTGGCAAGTAATTTTTTCACTAGCTGTACAGATCACGTTCCTGAGTATTTTCTGGAGCAGCTGGATCTCTGCTGCTGTGATGCTTTGATTATGATTAAAGCACTTCTATGCAGGCCATCCCTTCTAGGCAGGCTGTTTGAATCCATCCCTGGATTTCACCTCTGTTAGCCAAAGGATGTCAGTGCTATCATAATTAGTTTACCAGTCAGCCTCTGCAGTAGCATTTAAGGAAAGAAGGAGAAAGCTAAACTAGGTAGGTCTGTAATAACAAGCTAAGAGCTCACAATTCAATACTTAAGATTATACTGATGGGTGTGACTGTGTAAAGTTTGTGTGGTGAAAATAATTTCTAAAATGTTCTTCCCTGAGCAGCAGCAACAAACTCGTTTGTGGGTTTTTATCACATATGAAGCAGGATGAACAATCTACACACTGTAAAGTGATTTCTCACACATTTTTTTTGAGAATAATCAACAGTTATGATAAATCTATGGGGAAAAAAAAAAGCACAGGCTGTCTTTATTCTCGTACATGCCTGGCAGCTGCTGTCAGGACGTTTCTGTTGGTGAAACACAGCACCACTTTCCTTGAGATGAAATACTTGTGACAAGAGTTAACAAGGCACTTCTGTGAACACATGACAAAGAAGTTTGCAGGAATAACTAAATAGGGTAGCTAAGTTTAAAAATAGCTGCAAGATTCCAAATTAAGTATAGAGACAAGAGCTTCAAAAAACCTTTTCCCCTACTTTAAGCAGCTCTTCCAAGGGATACAGTAAGGCTCATAAAATCCCTAAGAATCAAGAAGCTTCAGAATCCAGTGCCCTCTCTTGCCACTATTAATACCTTGTAGTAGCCTGCACTTTTAAAATCCTCTTTAGAGAATAATTTTTCAACAAACAACACTCAGGAATCAGTATAAGTTCATAAAAGTTTAATGTTTGTTTTTGAAATAACACTATTTAATCAAGAGAAGGGAATCCACACATACAAAGTCTTCTTGGATGCTGGCAAAAGAGCTTAAATTTGAGATGTACCCATGACCAGCAGATTTAACCAGTAAGAATATAGAGAGAGCCTCATGGATTAATCACATTAATAGCAACAAAAAGAATGTGCCCTCATACCAAAGACAGAAGCAAAAGATATCGTTCCAGTCATGCAAATGTGTACTCACCTTCTCAGAACAGGTTTCCAGAAGTCTGGCATTTTCTTAGCTCCTGTGGAAAGTAAACAAGAGAGGCAAAGCCAGACTTGTTACAGTAAACTACATTCATCCTAAAATCCCACTTGCTGGATCATCTGGTGGGTTTGACTGCTACAATCCCAAATCTCAGCCCCTTTTAATTGTTTCCCTCCCCTCTGCAGGAAAACCTTTCAATAGCTAAACAGCAAGTCAGGAAGAAATATGTCAAGCTGTTAGACTGGAATGTTAACGGACAGTGACTCAAACAATCGGCCACTTGCAAAAGCAGCCGGTGCTTTGCTGACAATGTGCACCAGCCCAGGTGCAAAGGGGGCTACAGCTGGAGTTTGAGCCAGATAAGGGAGAAGGCTGATAAAAAGACCCATTGGAACTGGGGCAGCTGAGGCATAGGCCTGAAGGTGTTTGTCCCTCCCATAGGGCATACCTGGCTAAACTACACTGTCATGAGAGGCAGCTGTCATGTCTTAGAAGGTGTCATAAACCACAAAGATCCCCCAAAGTGCCCTCAAACTACTCAAATTTCTGAGGCCTTTCACCTATCCTCTTTTTTCTTTTCTTTTTACATTTTCTTACGTGCTATTTTTCTGCTTCTGTATCGTTATATTCCTACAGATAATAATCAAACCAGTTACATACCTCCTATCCTTTGCAACCAAATTGTTCTGAAATAAACCTGGCATATATATATATATATATATATATATATATATGTATATATATGTAAACACTGGTCATTTAGTGTCATTTCACTCTAATCCACCCCAAGGGATGTATTATTAACAAGAACCGCAGTTACTTCAGGGATGGGTTGTAACACAAGTGTAATGCAAAATGAATCAACACACTGTGAATGCAGCCAGTTCACCAGAAGAAGGGACTTGTAAGAAGTAGGATAAGTAAAAGCCATATATTTGATATGAATTTGATATTTGAATTTGATGCTTTAGTCCAGGATGCTAACCATGTAAAGCATAAGGTTCCATCTTACAAACCTGAAATAAACCTTCAACCTGTGAGCCTTTCTTGCATTCTGAAGCACAAATTCAGCTCTTGGAGAAGTAATTACACATAATTTACTATCTTGGATGATCTCTCTTCTGTAGACATTGTAGCAGCTTGAGGCAGGTTGTCCATGACTCGTATCAAATGCCAGACAGATCAAATGTGAATGGTGAAGGACTACAGCAATGCAAATATGGGATTTTTTTTCACCCAGCCAAACTGAATCCATTGCATGACTTCATTGCACTGAATACATAAAATAGAAAGAAGTGTGAATTATTTTTGTAACCCTAGCTTGGACATGACAGAGATAAGACTGATTTTGAACCATTCTCTCACCTTGGTAAAGCAATATAACATGTGAGACTAACTAGTAGAAGACATGAAATTTAAACACTACCTAAAAAACACCATATTAAATGGGTTTAATTGCATAAAGCCTTCAGTTCTTAAGAGAAAATGCAGTGACTGATATTCCTTAGCTAATGGACTTTTTATTTTTTTCCCCATTAATCAAGCATGTCTAAATACCCATCTTGCAGGTGCCTAGCTACAAGACTCATCTAATTATTGGCATTTATGTTTAATTCCTGTTTTTTTCATCTCTGAAAGGATATGAATATAGCTTAATGTGAGATCTGATATGAAGACTATCCCTACTCATTTCTTTGCCAGAGAGCTATTACAGGGCTTACACATCCATCACAGCTACCCTGGCTCCTAAAGTGTTATTTTGTTTCTACAGTCATCTAAAGTTTGTAAGCAAATTAAACAGGGTGGTAACACAAATGGCTCGTAGTATTTCAGTGCTGCTCAGGTTCTGGCTGAAACTCCCACACAAAAGCAGTTTCTTGAAGAAAAATTGTATTTGATTAAGAATTGAAAACATTACCTTGTGTGCTCTACTGTCTGTAAAATTAAGATTCTTCAGTCAGGCTGCTGGGAAAGGGAATACTGTTTGCCTTCAAGCAGCTCTGATGCAGGTTTTATTTCCTGTAGGTGTTCAACTATTCTCCACCACCTGCCCAACCAACTCTAATGGCTCTGCTCTCTGCATCCCCAGTTGATGGACAGCTTCATGGGAATTGTAACAGCAGCTTGACTCATTTTGTCAGTGCCTAGAACTGCTAACATACAGTAATCAACCTTCTCATCACAAGCAAAACGACAGCCCAAGAAGAGGTGGAGGTGGGATCAGGAAACAAAAGCCAGAAACTAATTCAAACTGTGGAGCCTTGGATATCTGCTCTAAGGCAGAATGCAACAGTCTGCAGCTGCATTACTCTGCTCAAGTTAGTTACAAACATGAATACATCCATATTGTCTGGAAACAGCTGACAGAAAGAATAGTCTAGCAATCATAACTTGCATCTCTCTCTTCATGCCAGACAGAAGCAGAGGAGTCAAGTAAAATAAATTTTATGGCTGCTTTAAACTCCCACACTGCTGGCATGTAGGCTGTTTGCACATAACCATGCAGCAGGCACAAAAGGACTGAATTCTCTCTCACAGAATGATTTTGCTCCCTTTAACCCTTTTTGTAATGTTCTGAGAGAATAATAAACCAACAGAATATTACATCAGGTGCCACATGAAAACCTGTCTTTGGTGATTCTCTTGCCCTCTGCACTAAAGAAATACAGTTTTGTTATGCTTTGGGATGCACTTGTTTGGTGGATGGTTGTGGAGTTTTTTTAAAAAAACTTCTGCTATCATCACTTACTTTCATAGGTATTTCTAAAAACTGTTTGGGATTTACCAGGATAAAAAAATAATTGACCTTTGCCCACATTTCCTACTGTTTCTGTGAGAAAATTTAAGTTCTTTGTGAAGCTTCTCTTAGATAAGAATTAGGCATTTATTTTCACCCTTGGCAAAAATTAAGGAATCATAAAACCACAAAAATTGGAAAAGACTTCTAAGATAATTGAGTCCAATCATTAACCCAGCACCATTTTGTTCACCACTGACCCATGTCCTCAAGTGCCAATCCATGTGTCTTTTGAATACTTCTAGGGATGATGATTCTGGAAAATCTGTGCCAAACAGCAGAGATTTTACATCTTACATCTTAATCTACTGCTTACACTTTTTACCACTAAGGCACAAATGCATTTGTTAAAAAGTTACTAACAGAATGATGGTCGCTACATTTGTTCCCTGATCACATGCTGTTTAAAATTCTAAAGCAAACAAAAAATCCCTCCAAAAGCCTATATACTGCTTAGTTAAAACTTAGTCAAGGACAAGATTCCAGCAAGCTAGAAGCAAGGTTTACCTACCCAGCAGACTACCCCAGGAAAAATGACTGTATTTTGCCTAAAACATTTGCAAGTTTCTTCTCCTTTCCAAATGTACATTCAAAGACACTGGAAAAACTAAGAAAAACCCACCTGGCCTTAAAACAGATTAACAGGATGACCGCAGCTTTTCTATGTCTTTTCTCCCACTGCTTCTTAATCAAGCTTGGTTTTGCAACAAACTTCCTCCAGGAGAAAGGATATGCCAGCCTCCATCATGAAAAACTAAAGGTTACAGCATAAATGAAGACTTAAGAGTTAATCCACTGTTCTTTGAATTTACTAGGTATTTGTGCCTGGTTCGAAGTAGTGTAAAGATAGAAATATTCAAACTATGTTTGTTTCCTTCCTATCATAAGCTTTCTGAAAACCAAGAAAAAGGTAACTTCTTATACTTATGCAGTTTTTAGAGAACTACGTCAGGAAGGAGAGGTAATGTATTGCACCATTCAAACAGACAAGTAAATCCCCATTAACTCACCCCTCCTCCTGAGGATCTGGAAGAGTCCAAGGCCAGCCTAGAAATTAGGTTTCCCAGTCAGTGCACTATGCTACAGCTCTGCCAGCACAGGGAACGAGTACAGTGGATAAATCATTTACTGCAAGTCTCTGGAAACCACAGGGAAAAAAAAATAAAGGAAAAAAAAAAAAGAAAAAAAAAGAAAAAATACATAAATAAAAATACATGCCATTTAATGAAATTACAGTGTTAATGCCTCTTGTATGCCAATCTGCCTAGATGCCATCACCTACACCACCCATTATGTCTTTATCCATTCCAGAGGTCCAAGGATTACTGTTTACTCCGTCCCCACAGGAGACCAAGTTAATCTTTGTTCCAGGAGTAAAAAGCCCTACCTCCCCTCAGGGATAGAATAAAGGGCATAAAGAGAAGTAGTATTCAGACCACAGGAAAGTTCAGATTTTGGAAAGCTTTAGACATATATGGGGTAACAACTCCCAGTTTCTCTCCTGCAAAGTTCTTGCTTGCCCTTGGTGCTCTCCATTCATGGCCAGCACTGACCAGGACCACTATCTGTAGAAGCAACTGTAGAGCACAGAACAAGGGTAACAAAATTATATTGTCCTTTCCCAAAAAATATTTTTTTTAAATTAAGTTCCACACAGATAACACAGCATTGAATAAGGTTGTCTTAAGAAGACTGTCCAGATAACTTAATTTGTCATTGTATGCACTGAGACCTTCATGAAAACCAATCTGCAAAAAGAAACAAACCAGAAAGCACGTGTGTGTTCCACAACAGCACCATCTAAAGTGCAGAAGTCTAGAAAAATTCAGCCTTCCCTTTAATATTTCCCTTCCCTGCACTTAAATCTCTCAACACAAGGTAGGTAAGGAAATCTTCCTCTGAGGATTTACAAGAGACCAGGCACTTTACTGAAAAAATTGGAAAGAAAATGTGGGGAAAAAAAATCATCTGTCAAATGTAAACAAGCAAACTCAGGTATATAATAAAAAAATACAGAAGAAAAGCAAGAAGCAACTACAAAGAACTTTTTTATAAACCAGGATTTGACCAATCTCTACTCATTGCCCAACTCCATTTTAAACTATCAAAGCATGTCAAACCATGTTATCTTTGGTTTTGACAGTAAATCAGAAAATAGGGCAATGATACTAACAAAGATTTCCTATGATTTCAGTGCAGCAACTGCTTAACATCATAAAATCAGCTCAAAGAGACTATCTCAGAACGCTCTTCCCTTCTTAATTACCTTTTTACTGTTGACTGGACCATTTATACTAGATTTCCAAATTCAGCTTAGACAGTTCTTACATTTCTTATATGAAAACCACCGTAAGTCTCTTGAGAAACGTTTCATGCCTTCCTCACACACAGTCATGGAAAACGAAAACAAACGGCGATTTTGCCTTCTCCAGAGGTCCATGTGCAGGCAGTGATTACAGAAATTCAAGCTCTGCTGGGGTCCCTCCCTGATGCCCCACCTCTGGTTTTACAAAGGGATCAGGACTTCAAACAAACTTCCACTGATGATGTTGACAGTAGTTCTTCCATCGACTTCAGCTGGGAATACACTGTATTTTATTGAGCAGGCTAACTGTTAAGTATCTTCATCCTCTACAGTTTCTTGATTTTATCAACTATTACAGGAGTCAGAAACTAATTGAAATAAAGCAAGAGTTAAAGAAAAAAAAGCAAGAAGAAAGCCTTGTTGACTTCCTTATGTTTATTTTTTTAAACAATTTACAAATAAAAATGTTATATTTATCCAAGGAAACACATTTAATACTTTAGTCTTTAACAGGCTATACAAATGAGAACCATCACACTCAATAGCTCAAGGACCATTCAGGGTAGGCATGCATGTGTCTGTATCACATGAAGCGAGTCCAATTCCTGACACCAGGGTTCTGATCTTCTACTTCTTCAGAGCTGGTCAGCTGCTAAATGATTTAACACAAATAGTTACTGGATCACAATAAAATTAAAGAAAGCCCATTTCAAATCACGTAAGTGACCTCAATATGTCTGGTCCAGGTGTCAGGCCACAGAGCCTTACCGATTAGTTTTCTTCTCCAAAAGCCAGTCGGGACAGATTTTCTCCCCTTGCTTAGTGATGTGGCATCCATACATGTGCTTATACAGTACAGGGAAACACTTTAAGTACAGATGTAGTAACAACAGTAATTACAAATCACAGAGACAGATAGACAAACAAAATCAACTCTAAACACATTCCTGCATTTCAAACAACAAAAGTAAACAAACCCATGCATTACAGTTCAAAGAAATTTTCAGTTTTAGTTCTTCTGCAAATCTCCATTTCCTCAGTTCTAATTTGCTGTTCTTGAGCTTGTCTCAGCAGCTGGGCTACTCATGGTGCTACTGACACAAACTGGGTGAGCTGGAAATCACCCAGAAATGGTCAAAGAATAAAAGCCCCCAAAATAAAGAAGACGCACGCATTATAAACGAGATTCCATTTTAATAGCAGAGTGTAGAAAAGAAATTGGCCAAAAAATTCACATGAAAAAACATTTTACACAATTAATTATGTACAGAATAAAGTATGTGACTGCCCTCTGATGATTTACGATTCACTTTAGTCAAGTCCTACCACAGAATGCAAAGTACACCCAAAACTCTCAGCTGGAACAGAAAGAAAAATAAACAAAAAACATATACATAATCCCAGCTCTGGCTCCTCAAATATTGGGACTGGCTGGGTCTACGTCAACCCACTGGGCTTTCTGCTATGCTTTCAGCAATTCCTGAATTCACTGTAGCTTCCAATCTACTGTCAGGAGCTTCTGTTTGCTCAGTCTTCTTGCTCTGGATGGTGCACATTCCCTTGCCTCCTGAGCCACCCACCTTCCCATGTGTTTCTTTGAGCCCAGGCATAAAAGTTTCCACGCACCCAGAAGCCCGACTTTCTGTGCTGCCTCTGTCACAACTCAGTGATGGCATTTTAACAGCGCTACCTTCATTGTCCTTCACTTGCACAAGTATCTCAGATGCGGGAGAAATGCCCTGCATTTCTAGAACTGGCATGACCACTTCTGTAGTGTCACTATTTGAGGTCTGTGATCCAGGCTGCAGCATAGGTTTCTGAGAAATCCGTGTGCAAATTTTATCTTCACAACTACCAGAAGTCAGTGTAGCAAAATCAGTAATCTCTGTATCATTCACTGTTCTTTCAATGCCCAGTTTTTTAACTTTACTGGACTCCAGCCTAATGGATGCAACAGTTTCTAGTTTTGTGACTTCTTCTGTATTTTCCTTTAAAAGTCCTGCTGAAAGGATGCTGAAACATTCATGTTTTACCTTATTGTCTCCCAAACTGAAATCAGTGCTTTTCAACCCAAGCTCTGCTTTCTGGGAGGGACTCTTCATGTGTTTCACATCCTCTGATGGTCTCTTGAAAAGAAGATTATCTGATCTTGCATCAGACCCAGTGTGTCCTAAAGACTTTTTTTCATTTTCAGCTACTAATTCTAGACTAGATCTGAGTTGAACCATGTTTGAGCAGGTATTGACTAACCGTTCAATTCCCTGCTTCTGGGTTTGGTTATCTAATGCTGTATGGCCTGAAGGTTTAGGTTGAACCTTTTCTTGATGTTCCAATAGGGTACTTATAGTTTCTGTCTGTCCCTCTATCAATTCTGAAGCATTAACCTCATTAGAACCAGATTTTATTTCTGGCTTTGGAGTATTTGATAGATCCCAACCACTTTCAGAACAAGAATGAGTTGTGACTATCTGTTCTTTTCCATTACTAGTTCTGCAAGTGCCC